TGAGATCGCCAACAACAGAAGGTAGATCACCATACTAGGGACCATGGGGGCTTACAGTACCTTTGCTACCTGCATGGACCCTAGTTGGATTTACACCAACCCTTCAGCCATTTGCGATTATAAGAAATGTTAGCCAAAATTAAAATAACAAAAGAATACTACGTTTAAAATCCTGGTAGTTTCGGAATTGACTTTTCAAAGTTTTGGGACTTACGTACCCTCTCAGGAGGACAATAATTTTACGCTACTTCAGCCTTTGAATTTTAGCCACTAACAATCTCAGTTACTAATCTAAACTACAAATAATAAAATATGTATCTATTTACAAATCAGTTAACAAGTTTAATTCTTTTAAAAATGCAATAATTAAATGAGAACTTATATTACTAAAAAGATCCTTCATAGTTTTTACTTTGAAATAGATATCCCTTGTGATGGAATATTCAACACAGTCAAGCAGGACATGCTTGACCGTGATTCTTTCATCACAAGGGATTCAAAACGGAGGATCCTCACCTTTTAATAGGTACTCATGCGTATATCTTGTATGGCCAATACGACATCGTCGTATGATGACCTCTTCAAAGGTTCCGTGATGATTTGGGGTGGATTAACAGCACGCCAAAGAACTCCTTTGGTGATTGTTCAGGGCAACGTAACTGGTGTGGGCTACAGAGATCAGATTCTTCGACCTGTGGCAATTCCTTTTCTGCAACGTCATGGCCCTGGGTTAACATTCCAACAGGACAATGCCCGCCCTCATGCGGCAAGGGTTGCTATGGATTTCTTGCAACACCACAACGTTGACTTACTGCCTTGGCCTGCAAATTCACCGGATCTCTCCCCGATGGAGCATGTTTGGAACGAGATGGATCGACGTCTACGCCGTCTTCCTCATCCGCCAGGTACCGTCCTTGACCTTGCAACAGAACTTGAGAGAATCTGGCGTGACATCCCACAAGCCTTCCTTGCACGTTTGCGTCGTCGATGCACTGCTGTTCTCAATGCCGATGGTAGACATACCCGTTATTGAGCTTGTGACATGGCCGTTTGACCCCTGTCCCGCCTGTGGACTCGTGACGTCATTGTGATTGACTTTTCAATTGAAATTCTCCCGACTTGTTATGGTCTCATGATCCCTCCATTAAAGTTTATATGTACCTTTGACATTGTTATCGTACTAATCATCTGGGATAATATATTGACAATGCACAGTTTTTTTTTTCTTTATGTGGCTAGTATATATCGAGTATAACGATGGTCATATAAGCACAAACTGGGGAAAGGCACCTAGTTCCTTGAAAGGAATGGTTATTACAATGTTCAAAATGACGTTCGGTTACAACGGTACTGTGACTTACGGAGGATGAACAAAAAAGGCTGGTAGGGATGATGTCTGAATTTGGATGGTTGGTTGTTGTTGTTTTTACGCCGCACTCAGCAATATTCCAGCTGTATGGAGGCGGTCTGTAAAATAATCCAGTCTGGATCCAGACAATCCAGTGATCAACAGCATGAGCATCAATCTACGCAACTGGGATACGATGACGTGTGTCAACCAAGTCAGCGAGCCTGACCACCCGATCTCGTTAGTCGCCTCTTACGACAAGCATGTGTTACTGAAGACCGATACTAACCCAGGGTGTGATCGGTATTTAGAGGCTGATTTTGGCACTATTAGTAAATAACATGTATTCAAGATGTTGTCTCGACACATACGTTACATCGAGACACTAGCTTGAATCGATGATCGAAATCAGGGTAGAATGATTATCGTCGTTTGGCAATGGTTGCTTCTGATAACTGTCATATCAGCACTAACCACGCTTTATCGACATCAAAGTAATGCATGTCGTCATTGGTGAGTGATACGTTTAAGAAGCAAGTTTGTACCCTTGGCATCCACTCGAAACACCCACTAACAAACTGTGTCGATTTCTTCCAGGTGTGAGTTACCTGCTGCCAAAAGTTTATGCAGTTGATGCAGCAACAGGGGAGACCGGGGGATTCTTCCTGGCTGATCTTCCACAGCTGGGATACAACGTCACAAGGACTGTAGCGCCATACAGCAGAAATTTTACAACTATAGGTCCGTTAGAGGCCATGAAGCGTCCTGAATTAGTATTAATAAAACAAAGCGTTTGTAATCCACGCCATTCACAAGGGGCATGAGCATTTACGGAAAAATTGGAAGTGCCCTCTTTTCTCCCCTCCCGATCTCGGCCCTAGGTTCCAGGTATGTAGTGTTCACGTGTCTGGGTTCCATGGACCACGTGATGTTATTGATTGTCAACTACAACCAGAAGACAGATGTTGATATAACGCTGATGCTGGAGGAACGTCACCCACAACAACATGACATACAACGGCGGAGACACGATTCACGTGAGAGTTTAGATGAGTATCAGACCTTCACGTTGAAGAGCGCATATGACCTGACTGGAACTGTCGTCAACACAACACGTAATGTAGCTGTGTTCAGTGAAACAATGCAAGGAATTTATGTCCAGAGCCATTGCACAACTACTACCTGTACGGCATCACGGGACTGGTATGTTCTGTCAACACGCATGACTTTTCTCCTTACAGGAACTATCGCCACCAGCTGCAAGTTGTTAGTGACAAGACTGACACTGAAATTATGTTGAACAATGGATCTACATTCTCTCTTGGTGACAACCATTATTGCTATCGCCAAAGCCTCCTGTTTAACGAGACACTGTATTTTAATACCACAAGACCGGCCATTGCAACCCTGTGTAGAAACACCCGCATACATGTGTTTAATCATGGGTTTGTGGTTTTAACTCCGGTTAAGTATTTCATGGACACTTCACGGGTCTGGTTTGTCTACTGTATAAACATACTGACTAAACAACGCGTGACGGATGTTGAAGTATTTGGTGTTGACATGACCCCTGCTACAGTGGACTGGATGGACATCTCGACCCGGTGACAGTGATTACAAAGTGGGAAAAACTTGTTCAAATGGACTTAACTTTGTCCGCTCTGCCAACAGATTCACAGTGTATGCGTTTCAGAACAACATTACTAATGGAGGCTACCGTTTCCCAACTGATCCACCAACCGAGGATGGTAAGTTTCATGATACCTTGATTTGGAGTGGTATTTTCAGTGAGAAACTGTCTAATCTGTGGACTCATCATTTTAGTGAATTTGAAAATTGTGTTAGTTAACAACACATTTGCTGTTCCTTTGTCGTAAAACATTAATGCACACGTTTTGGCTTAATATTTGGGAGATGATATTTGAAAGACACATAGAAATACAGAAGTCTTTTTTGATTCTTTAATTATAGAAGAAGTTGTATTTTTTAGAATGATTTCAGGTGTAGTTTTATATAAAAATATATGAATACTTAACTGGTTCTATAACACGAATGGCTCCATTGCAAAATTTTGCAAAACTTTATAAAAACAATTGTGCATAGACATGTTAAACTCATGTATGCCTATAAATGGTAGTCATTATTTTTGTATCTTGAATACTTACAATGTGTTTTTCAGATTTTAAATATTCTTTTACAACCAAATTGCCCTTACTCTGTGTGTCTCGGGTTCCTGCAATTTGCGATGTGTTTGTCACATGTTGATAACATTCAGGGGGACATCATGATTGAAGAGTTTGTGTGTGAAGTGCTGGAAGAAGATGAGTGCATGTTGGTATCAGTTGTGGCAACTTCTGTCTATTGTCCGCATGTACTCCAACGCGTGTCACCCTTTGTCACTTACCTCTAACCACGGAAATACGTTAACATTGCTTCTGTCTTTAATCAAGCATCAGTGCTACACTGGCTTTTCCACGCTACACGCTGTCAATACGTCACTGACTTATCTACGCTATATGTAGTCAGTACGTCAATGGTTTATCTAAACTACTGGGCAAAAGAAAGTTATCACTGATTGTATATTTAAAAAATGGCTGGTACCGATTTGAACTCAAGCAGATAACATTCGCCAAAACGCAGCATGGTCCCGATAACAACACATCTGTGCGAAAACTTCTTCCGAATCGTTTTCAAAACGTCGAATACGTAATTGTGAAACATTGGTCCAAATGACCTGCATAAATGTGGCATAGATACAGAACAATAGATACCGTGATTTAACAAACAAACAAACCCCACGAATATGCTATACCTACGTACTCAAGCGCAACGAGACAGGACTATCGGTATGGCCAAAATGGGGGCTTCACAACGTCAGCTGGCATGAACCACCAGTCCACCATTAGCAAATTGATAAGCCGCTACCAGCAAACAGGCCAGGCCTAAGACCCCTCAAGGTCGGGAAGACCAACAGTCACGACACCTGCCGAAGACGGCTACATCCGTCAGATCCACCTCATTAACAGATTTGGTATGGCCTCGGCCTTGACCCGTCTACAACGTCAACGCAGACTGCAATGGACACGAACTGTACGTCGGTGGCAGCGACGTGACTGTGAGAGAGGGCTCTTTACAGTTGAAACTCGGCTCGGTTCACAAACGATGGAAGAATTCGAGGGTTTTTTTACGTAGAATACAGAAAACTTGTTAATGTTGAAACCTTGACCCCTCTCAATGAATTGCGGCAAATGCAAGACCAGCGTTACAATGAATTTTCAGTCAAATGATTGGAAAATGAATTCTGTTTGTAAATAATTATCATAGATCTCACGTACATCTTTGTTTCTATTTTTGGTCACGTGAAGTCGGTGATCACTTTCTTTGCCCGGTAGTTTATGATATACGTAGATATCGGCTGGTTCGCGCAATACAGCTTCAATATATAATGGCCTCTGTACGCTATACATTGTGTCCCTTTTCACAGGTCTGTAAAAACGCTAGTTTATATGTTCTCCATTCAGGAGCGATCATTGTTTAACACCGCCTATAGAAATATGATATCAGTAAGGCTATAACAACAAGATTGTCCTTGTGATCAATATTATTACAAAATTATTACATTTTTCTAAAAGACAGATACCAGGAACATTGCATACATTTTATAACGCAGCGTTTAACATTCCTGCCTGCCCGACCGTCCGGAACGGTCTGTTTTCATCTCGGACGGTCAAATTTCAAAAGTAGCCTGTCCGGTGGTCTGTTAGATATTTCTCTGATCTTGATTGTGAGGCAGACAATGCAACAGATTTCTAGTTTGTAAACCAGGCCATGTACCTTAACCTTAACGTTACAATACATGCAGTAAAGTATTCAGAAACTTGATTTTATTTGTTTTTTTATTGTTGAAAACCGGACAGGCAAGTTTGTATCCGGACTTGTAAATTTTAAAGTTACCAGTCCGGCTGTCTGGCTTGGAATTTTGGTAGTTTTAAACACTATATAACGGCCATCTTGTCATGTTACAGGGTTGAAGGCATTACCAGGTTCATGTTGCTGTCATTCAGCTGTGGATCTGCCTCATTCATTATAGATACTCTCATCTATATTAACATATATAAATGTTGAATATATTATCTAACAATTATTTGAATTGTACAACATGTTTCAGAACCTTGTGTTATCTTATCATTGCAATGTCGGTATATGGATAGTGTAATTTTATGAAGTGGTCTTTGAAGCTGAACATTTTTTTAACACTTGATCAATAATGATAATTTATGAGATTGTTGTACATTAATTGCACTATATTTTCTTCTCTCCCACAATCTACTTGCCACATTTAATGTACAGGTGTTGCTAAAAGGTAATATGATTTGTTACACTTCTCGTACATCCTACAGAAACAGATCTCATCTGGACTTTCTACACTAACTGAAGCCTGATTCGTGTATTCAATACTGTATCCAGGAATTGGCATGCATTTGGGGGTTTCAGACTGACGTGATCGGATTGACAAGGGTTCCGTTCTGACGGTGTCCGGATTGACAGGGGTTCAGACTAACGGTGTCCCGATTGACATGAGCGGTTCAGACTAACGGTGTCCGCATTGACAGGGATTCAGATTCACGTGATCCAGACAGGGATCCACATTTTCTATTATCTTTTCTAAAACAAGTGTTTTATTTTATCTTCACGAAGATTGCGCTATTATTATTCAGAAATATATTAAATAATATAACTGTTGGACAATAACGACATATAATACATGTAATAACAAATGGTACTTATCCTCAAACCCGTTAATTAGCTCAGATACTTCACAAAAACTGCAATATTTGTAATTCCTATATAACTCATATTAGCATAACGGCCAGTTTCTAGTTGTAACTTGTTAGCAAATATTCTGAGCATAGTGTGCACATGTGAAATGTCTAGGTACATTTGGTAACTGAAAATAGCGTAGATATTACCATAAGATAACGTTTTGATGAGTGATGGGTATAAGGACCATTCCTTTCTTATATGGAATTATTTTAAATTATATTGGGTGTTTCATTGCCTGATTATCTGCTGATCAATATCCCTTTCTCTAGTTGTAGTCAATGCCATATGTTTATATCGTACATTTTGTTTATGCTGTAGGTCTCCTGGACATGACGCGCTTGAAAAGTCGAAAGTTGAGAAATGGCTGAAAACTTGGAAACATGTGATACACATTCCATTTGGACTTTTGAGAATATGATTGTTTCCCATTGATGTTAATTGCTTCTTTTAAGAGAATAAGATTAAAAACATTTCTGTGTGAGTTTCGTGGTTATTTTGCGCCGCACACAAGTCAGCATCAGACAATCCAATGATTCCTTTGCATCGAACTAAATCCATGGCACACGATGGCTGCATCAACCAAGTTAGCGAGCCTAAACTGCTCAAGACCCAGACCCAACCGGGATCTTGAAATGGATATGCTTGTTTCTACCAAAATATAAGTTTCTCTCGTCAAAGAGAATAAATCAGCTTCAGTTATAACGAATTTGAAAATGACATATCATGGTAGGTAGGCATGGGTGGCCCGGTGGTCTGTGGCGCTAGAAATCGCCGTACAAGTATGTGTCCTGTGTCCTGCAAGATACTTATGGCCGTGGGTTCGAATCCCGGTTTGCCCTGATTATGTTTAGCTTAATATGCCACACCCATGCACGTGTGTTTTACCAAAGTGGTAAACATCTAGCACCTTGATCACTTCAGGGCTTTTTCCTATAGCAAACTGACTCGCTGTTATAATATTACAACTGAAGCACTGTTGACAACGGTGAAACCAAGCTTACTCACCAAACAAAAAGTGGCTCATCCATAGTGAGCTGTATCGTGGCGACAGTCCAGGGCCCCGTTTCAGAAAGATCTCGTAGCTACGACTGTCGTACTTCCTTTACAACAACATTGACTTACGACAGTCATAGCACTCTGATAGCTTTCTGAAACTGGGCCCTGTGACCAGAGCAACGATACCGCCCAATTGCATACTGAGAGAGGCAATCAGCCTAGTCAGGAAGTCTGGTATACGCATGTGAGTGCGTATTCGTCGGGACCAATGCCCTTTCTAAAGTGCTGGGCCACTTAGATAGTAGTTTTAACATGAATCTTCTACTCAGAAACTATATACTGACTCTAAGCCAGGGTTTGCTTGCTCTTCTTAATACTGTGTTAACAAAAGCTACCATCTCCAGTGTCTATTTGTATGACGCGCCCTGGGATCGAACCACGGACTTTCATCTCCCCGTGCAGACGCTCTATCCACTAGACCACATTAGCTGTTGTGACAAACCGTCCCCAGGTTGAGCCTACACCCTGTAACTAGTAGCAAGAAGCTGCAAAAAGGTATCCGGTGTTTGACTAGCGTCATTGTTCCCCGATAATAGACTTGGATTGACTTTAGGCTGGGTCGAGTCTGTTGTTTGATTGCATTGTTTCAAGGTGGAAGGTGGATGCTGTCTGTTTTCAAGGAGTGAGTGAGTTTAGTTTTACGCCGCAGTCATCAATATTCCAGCTATATTCCACCATTCTTTCAATAGTTTTACAGACGCAGCTGGTTAAAGTAAGTAAGTGAGTGAGTTTAGTTTTACGCCGCACTCAGCAATATTCAAGATCTGCATGAGCATCGATCTGCGCAATTGGGAACCGATGGCATGTGTCAACCAAGTCAGCCCGTTAGTTGCCTCTTACGACAAGCATGGGTTACTGAATATCAATGTTGTAACCCGGGTCTGTTTTCAAGGAAGGGAGATAATTCCAAATGAGAATTGCGCTGACATTTGCTGAAATTTAGTTAACATCCATTCTCTTAAAGATAACTGTCCTGAGAACCGAATCACATTAGATTATACAATACAATTCTAACATCTCAATAACAATAATACAACACACATATTACTTTGGATAATAGAAATGGCAGGCAGCTGTATTATCAGTCACGTATTTGTGCAGTCCCGAGTTTGGCACAAAGCATCATTCACTCCCATATACCAGAATGTAAGGACAATAACACGAGGTCTGCACTACGAAGTCTGTACAATCTGACAGAGAACGTTCATACATGTCACAACAGTCACACTTCTAGTGGGACAGGACATTTCTGTAGGATCTCCCTGACCCGAGGAGGGCTTTCAGGGGGACATGGAGGATGATAAATTGTTCCTACTAAGGACAGCCAGCTGTCAGTCAGGATTCGAATAACACCATCGTTTTAGAGACAAATCGCCTTGGTTGCCCTTAATGACCACAGTGGCCCCAGTAGATTACTCCAGAGAGTTGACGTTCTGACTATAAACTATGAAAGCTACTGAAGATACTTGCTTGGAGTCGTTTGGTACAACTCTATTCCCGCCATCAGGGACATATTCTACGGGTATATGTAATCTTCATAGTGAACAAAAAGCAGTGCCAGCTATATCTTCTGAACAGTACGTTCGATCACCACAGATAGCAGCACAAGATAAGATAATCCTCTCAGAAAGTTGAAAGCTGAAGAGGACAAATTAGAGGACAACTAGAAGCTACGCTGTACTGCCTTGAATGATAGGGAATGAAAGGGATAAGAATGGTGATGAAATATTAAAGATGCTTTTTGAACGAGACAGATCAACGTTTCAAGCATAGTTCGTTTGATTTCATTTGAGACCGATGAATTGCTCACAAACACAAAATCTAATAATTCCAAGATAGCTAAATTTTGAACAATCACATGAGCTCGACAGACCAATTCTGATGATTTGTCTCATAATCTTGGACACCCGAATAAAAAAGTTGGTTATCAAACTGGCCGACAGCCTTTTTATTTCTCTATCTTTCCATCAGAAGGCTGCTTCTCCACTGTCTGATAAAGGGAGTTGTACGTTTTACCCGTATTTGGCTCACCACCAAAGCACGGGCTTCTACACCTGTGACGTATGACGGTTGAATTTGAATTCATTTCGTCGTCGTCAGCCATCAGCTCGCATGGCTGACACAACGTCTTACTAATGTTGTATAATTCACAAATAACACCCTCTCTATATCCTTCCTTTCTCTATTTCATAGTGCTAAATATCTAATTATTATCGTGTTAAGTGCCTGTAAGTTAGTAAACATATTGTTACCGATTAGCGCATAAAGTTAACATATCTATCGCGTATCGCACTAACTTAAGCACTAGCACGTAAGACAGTGTGTGAAAGTATAATTATAATATATGTTATAAAGCTTTTATTAACAACACCAACTGTATATATTTTTAGCAATAATATGATACATCACCTGTATGTGACGTCATCATGTAAACAATCAACATTATTCAATTGTTATCATAATTATAACGTATGCCATTGTGCTATGTAATTATCAATTGAATAATTAATATGCCTGATTGATTCACATTCAATTGTCATCCATCAGCCATCACACATGCATGGCTGACACAACATCTTACTAATGTTGTATTTCATTCACAGGCAATAAACGAGATGTTTTACACCAACGAGGATCTCCGTCCGTTATTTTGTCTGCTTGGCAAGACTGAGGCCTGAACCCGCGACAAAACGATCATTATTTTTTGATAACTTACCGTTATTTCCTACGAGGGAGGACCACTTGCTGGTAGAACAGCCAGGTAATCAACAAGCGTGTGTAGTGAAATTTCAGTTTCATACGTGCAACGCGTACACGTGGCTGTTCAACCAGCAATTGCCCCCAAACCCGACGCTGGTTTGGGCAAGTATTAGTGACCTTGATATTGGCAAAACGCTATAACTGTCACAGGTCGCGGAAAATCATTCTGACAGTCCAAGTTTCGTACTGTTGGCAATTCGGGGATTCGAACCCCAAACAGCTGATTCTGATACAGGAAAGAAATTGAGCAATGGTTTTGTATACTGCATTTTTCATTTTTTGGAAGCTATCAACTGAGCGTGTACTGTTTCACACCACATTTTGCGACATTCTACAAGATTGAGCTGAGTGGACACCAGAAAGAGGCTTCATGATCACATGATGTATCCATGTGGCCAATAATATCCAGACCTGTCGGTGTGACGAGCGAAAGCTGTAACCGCGATGCTACCCCTGTAATTGTTCAAATGCCATGTGTGTCCTGCACATGTTAACCCTTCAACGAGTCTTGCAGTTTAGTGAGGATAGCTTCACTTGATATGTACTTACCTAAAACAAACATCACATTAACCCTTTACAACTGTGAAC